TCCCATTATTGAGAGAAAAATAGAGCAATGAATAGTATTTTTAGAGAATGTGTTGTTGAAATTTAAAGTAATTTTATGAGTTTGTGCGTAAAATATTTTATTGAGTGAATGTGTAGTGGAGAATCTTACTGTAGCAAACAATTTTTTGGAATAATGATAGACAAACAGGGACTTAATAGGACATTGATGATGACAAACTACCATGTTATGCAAGGTGTCAAGAGGACATGGATTAGAAACCTAATTCGATTAAGAAAACCTTTGGGAATTTAATTTCTTAACCTTCAAGACTAAGAACTTACCAGATTCTGTCTTCACAAGCTACAAGGACAGGCTTTGACCTTTTGGTAAGCATGAAATTCAAGGCATCCCATAATTGCCAGCATATACTTAAATCATCCTAGTAATGTCATTTAAAATGGTAGTATCTCCTTATCGCTTCTCGACATTCTGTTAGTTCCGTAATGAATCATCCACCAGACAAATGAAAAGGCGTACTTTCACTAGAAAGTACATCCTTATACGCGCTCTTAAAACTATAATACTAAGCTTTGAAGCACAGACACTTCAATTAAATTAGTGTGTCCGTATCGATCCGTATCGAACATAAGTCGATACAGACACTTTTCGGACATTCTACCGTAATCATTTTCCTTTTTATATTAAAAATATTATATATCGTTAATTCAAAGTTATTGGCAAATAACAAATAAGTGATCATATTTAAAAGATTTCAACAAGAAAAATTAATAACAAGTATAAAACTAAATTTATACTATATAAATGAAGAATTATTAAGAATTAATCAACGTATCGATGACGTGTCGCGTCTGTACTTTTTTTAAAAATCGTGTGTCCGCGTATCGACACGTATCGTGTCGGACACATGTATTCGTGTCAGTGCATCATAGATACTAAGAATAACGCTATTTATCTAGACTACTCGCGGTGAGTAGAGTGTCAATTAAGTGGCATTAAAGATGTCCAATCACTTAATTAACCCCAAGACTAAGGGACCCTAAGGGCCTATTTGATTTCCTATGTTTTCCATAGAAAATGGAAAACAATTTCTATTTTTCATGAATTTGGTTGTTTGATGGCAAAGTTTTGCCATGGAAAATATTTTCCATTTATGCCTCACACGTGCACCAATGACTTGATTTGGTGGAATTCATTTTCCCATCTATTTGGTAGAAAAAGGAATTCCAGCTTTTTTTTTTTTTTTTGCAGTTGAAAAAATTTTTAAAACAAATTTTAAAAAAAAAAAAANTCTGCTGGAAAATTTTTTTTTTCTTTTTTTTTTTCAGCAATGAAAACAAATTTCATAACCAATTGTAAAAAAAAAAAATTCATTTTAATAGACAATTTCCATATAAAACAAAGCTAAACTTTGATTAAAAAAAAATGATTTTCTTGGAAATATTTTTTTTGTTTTTGTTTTTGTTTTTGTTTTTGTTTTTGTACTTTTTGGCAATGGAAACAAATTTTATAACCAATTGTGGAAAAAATTATCAGACAATTTTCATGTAAAACAAAGTCAAACTAACACAAAAAGATCCAAAATTTTAAAAGGGAAAATTTCATTTCTAAGATAAAGTATGTGCCATTTCAAAAACAAGTTTCACATTTTAAAAATCAGATTTTTTTTTATTTTTATTTATGAATAAATAAATAAATAAATAAATTTATTAAATATTTAATTCTAATATAATATAATTAATTCACCCCACCTCCACTACCCTTATTGCTCCGATGACTATTCCGGTGATCGTTCCGGCCACCACTCTTTTCCGACGACTTTTTCGGTGACTGTCACGGATTTATATAATATGGTCACAGATTCACAATTTAGCTGGTCACATTATTTTTTGGTCACAAATCATTATTTTTTACGTCACAAATTATTTTACGGTCACAACTTAAAAATTTTATAGTCATAATTTGTTTGTCGGCCACGGATCAAAAATTTTGTAGGTCACAAATTATTTCGAGATCACAAATCAAAAAATTTGTACGTCACGAATTTGTTTATTGATCACAAATAAAAAATTGAAACGTCACAAATTATTTGACGGTAACAATTCAAAAATTTTATATGTTACCATTTGTTTATCGGTCACAAATCAAAAATTTTGTAAGTCACAAATTATTTTATTCTCACAAATCAGAAATTTTATAGGTCACAAATTATTTTACGGTTACAATAAAAAATTTTATAAGTCACAATTTGTTCATCAATTACAAATAAAAAAATTATACATCACAACTTGATCACATTTTTATACAATTTGGTTACAAATTTATTTATCGGTCACAAATCAAAAATTTTATAAATCACAATTCATTTATCAATCACAAATTTCATAAGTCACAATTCAAATTTTTAGGTCACAATTTATCGGTCACACGTTATTTTTTAGTCGCGGGATACCCAAATTATTTCACAATTTATTTCATTGGTCACAAACTAAAAAAATTTAGAGTCAAAAGTTTAACGATCACAGATTTTTAAATTTGTTAATCACAAATTATTTCTCAATCATAAGTTATCAAAATTTAAGGTCATGGTTTAATATTTAAAAACATATAACCAAAATAATTGGTCACATGCACCAAATAGTCACGAACCACCACCACTAACTAACACTACTGTCACTATCACCGCTATTTGCAACAATCCTCACCCTGCTACCGTCACCGTCGCCGTCAACACCTCCACCTGCACCACCACACAAAAACCACAGCCAGATCCACCATCACCATCAACACCTCACCATTACCACCAGCAGCTCTACCATCCTGCTCCAACAACCACCATCCACCACCTCCAATCAAACACCGCGCCACCGCCTCTTATTAAAACCCACAATGTCTCCCAACACTAGCACACCTCCACCACCGAACCCCATCGTACACATCTACCACACACCGCACCACAAACATCCTCCACCACCAATAACAGCCTGCACCACTACCATCGCACCACCACCACTAAACAACCATCAACACCACTACCACTTCCCACCAAAACCAACACAAACACCTCACCACCACTGCCATATCCAACACCACCTGTAGCACCATCATATCTGCGACCATCTCAGATCCCCAAACCATCCCAAAATCACCCAAAACTGGTTTAGATAGTTGGGACATCAAAAGAAGCAGGTTCGCCACTATTTAACTGTAGCAGCGGCGAGGGAGATGCCTCTGCCGACATTCGCATTGACTGCTATGAAGGGCACAGCATAGCAGCGGTATCACATCGATAGGAACTTTGTAGCCGCGTTCGGAATCTCCGGTGGCGGGTTCTCTTACCTACTGTAGCAGCGAGGGGGAAACAAAGTAGCGGCTACGATGATGCCGCTGCCGACTTTCACAACGCCGACTGCGAGAGGGAAATACAGCAGCAATGACGCTGCTGCTCGACTTCACCTGTGTCTCCGGCGGCGGGAGCTCAACAACAACGGCAACAGAGAGAGAGAGAGAGAGAGAGAGAGAGACAAATGGGTGGGATTTGGGGGAAATGAGGTGAGGGTGGAGAGAGGTAAGTAGGGTTAATGTGGGAATTAACTAGGGTTTGGAGTNACAATCTCTCCCAACACTAGCACACCTCCACCATCGAACCCAATCATACACATCCACCACACACCGCACCACAAACATCATCACCCACCAATAACAGCCTGCACCACGACCACTAAACAACCATCAACACCACTACCACTTCCCACCAAAACCAACACAAACACCTTACCACCACTGCCATATCCAACACCACCTGTAGCACCATCATATCTGCGACCATCTCAGATCCCCAAATCATCCCAAAATCACCCAAAACTGGTTTAGATAGTTGGGACATCAAAAGAAGCAGGTTCGCTACTATTTAACTGTAGCAGCGGCGAAGGAGATGCCTCTGCCGACGTTCGCATTGACGGCTATGAAGGGCGCAGCACAGCAGCGGTATCACATCGATAGGAACTTTGTAGCCGCGTTCGGAATCTCCGGCGGCGGGTTCTCTTACCTACTGTAGCAGCGAGGGGGAAACAAAGCAGCGGCTACGATGATGCCATTGCCGACTTTCACAACGCCAACTGCGAGGGGGAAACACAGCAGCAATGACGCTGCTCGACTTTACATGTGTCTCCGGCGGCGGGCGCTCAACAGCAACGGCAATTGAGAGAGAGAGAGAGAGAGAGATGGGTGGGATTTGGGGGAAATGAGGTAGGGGTGGAGGGAGGTAAGTAGGGTTGATGTGGGAATTAACTAGGGTTAGGAGTGTATATATTTAGTAAAAATATTAATTAAAATAAAATATCTAATTTTTGAAA